ATAAATTCATGAAATAGTAGTTCATTAAAATTTTGAATGTGAGTTAACAAACGCGATGACATGGTCTTTCACCCATGATGGGTTAATATATATAAAGTCAATCTTCTGGTATACTAATTGTAAAGAACGTGTAAAAATGATCAACAGTGACTTTTAAACGTTGAAATGTTTAAATACATGTATGGCACTAATTATTATATAAACATATCAGATTTAAGTGCATTCTATTAAAAGTAACACCTCAGCTATACATTTTCTCAACTTGAAACACACACACTTGTGAGGCACATTTGGCTATTTGTCTAGCAGTATAGATTTTTACATGTAAGAAGCACTTTTTCATTAATTTCTCTTTGTGTACAACTTCTTTTTTTTATGTTTTAAATATACATTTTCAGATAACCAAAAATCATAAATTAATATACCAATACCACAAAATTCCACTATAATTTATCAAGCTTAGTAACTAAGCTGTATTTGAGTCTAAAATATATGGAATTTCAAGCTAACTAATGTCTTACCCCACTGCTTGGAATTTAGCACGAAAAGAAAGAGTATGCCATGCAATTACTTCACAGAGGCTGAGAAAACCACTAGGAGGACATACTGAGTTTTTGATTGGTTATACGCACATCATTGGGCGAAGTAGGTGTACGTGAGCAAGTATTTTCAAAATTTTAAGAGGGGGGGGGGGCAGGGACCACCTTTGTTGATTCAGTAAATATATTAATATCTCAAAACAGAAAAGATGAGAGGTTCTTATTTTATACTCTAGCTTGTTAATGGTAATTTGAGCATCTAATTCATTAGAAATTATAGACTTTGTATTTAGACATCAGAAACATCTAATTTGAACCAAAGCTGCATTCAACATACCATGCAACACACAAAAATCGATATTTAGGATTTCTTTATAATATTTACTTTTAAGATAAGAAATTAACTAATATATAAGCTTTCATAGAATAGTAGTTCAATAGAATTTTGAATGCGAGTCAACAAACCCGATGAACATGGCCTTTGACCCATGTTGGTAGGGTTAACCCTTTTGTATCGGGTGCGTGTAAATTTCAGAAACCAAGACGCAAATTTTATTTGTACAATAACATGTGGTAACTCAGATTTCTTAATATATCATCTCAAAAACTGGTAGGATTTTGTAAAAGATCATAATTATTTTGTCCACAAAAAACAACATTATTATAATTAAGTGTTTTTACTAAAAAATGTTATTTATCTATGTAGTTACTTGCACTCAAACTCTTAATAAATCGAGGGCATAGTGACTTTTATTTTAAGTATAAAAATACTTTCCTTCATCTTATATTTTTCATATTTCATTTGCATAATCTCTAAAACCTCCTAAAATAATATCAAAAGTTTTTATGATAAATTTTATTTTTTATTTTTCATTTTCTTTACAATATCACTCACCCTAGTTATTATCATTAATGTGCAATACAAAGAAATAATTAAAATTAGGAAACAGAAAAAAAAATACATACCTTTTAATTTTTTTGTAGAATATCTTTAAAAATTTTCCTTTTGTTAAATTTGTAATTTCACATATAGTTAATTTTTTGTTTTATTTCGCTTTCTTGTCCTTTACCACTTATTATTCATCTTCACACAAGTCAATGATGCCCTTGGAGTATATTACAGTGTCTGTGGCAGACACGAGCAACCCTTCAGCAAAATTTTTGTGCACTGCATAATATCATAAGCTTTGAGAACTGATGCAAAATATGATGTATATGTAAAAAATGTTTCCATCTTTCAATTATGCATTTTAAAACATAACTAATACATAATTAACTAAAATATAAAAGTAAGACTTAAGTACAGTTTAAACTGTATGTCTAACTATAACATGTTTAAGTAAGAAACAACTATTAAGTGCTATTGTTGATCAAGCAGCCAACAATACCACAGTCATTTAGATGTACTCCATGATGACAACTTGGCACTAATTTCAAAATAACCACTGTTAGATTATAGTGTAAAATGAGCTCTTTCTAATAACTGTACACATGTGTATGTAACATCTACATGTAAGCTATAGAGCTCAAACAAATCTGTTGAAGGTGGGCATGGTACCTGTCAGGGGTTGAAAAATTTATTACTTGTTTCAATGTGCATTCAGTATTTATTCAGAAAACTTTAAAATGTACGAATCAAAAGGTTATGTAAATATCTTAGTCTGGATATACATCTACAGTACTGCCATTGTATTACTGAAGATACAGAATGCCAAAGTAGAGAATATTCATAGCTCATTCATCACGTGACAATACATTTGAAGTTTTAAGTAGTTTTTAAAGGTTTCTTTTGAAATAAAGGACTTAAAACTGAGATAACATAAAACTTTGAATCATAAAATACATGATAATGCTAATTTCATTCACATACATTGATTGTAAAGGTGTTTAATTAAATTTTTGAATGTAACAGAATGAGTCATGCAGAAAAGCATTTAAAATTTAATTAAACACCTTTACAATCAATGTATGTGAATAAAATTAGCATTATAATGTATTTTATGTATGTTTAATTAAATTTTGGATGTAACAGAATGAATCATGCAGAAAAGCATTTAAAGGGGCACCCATTGTGAAAGGGTTAATAGTCAGTTCTAATTTATATTGAGAATGAAAAAATGTAAAGTCATTCAAGTTTAAAGGTTCAAAATTATTTTACAGTAAACATTTAGACTAGAATCTTCTCCAAAGCATTACTTTAAAACGTTTTTGTTGAAAAAAAGACATTGAAGCTGCTCAGTTGTATAATTTTGTTGGCTTGTACATAATAAACAATACGTTTTTTTTTTGTTTTTTTGCAGTTGGAATGTTTGTTCTGTGGAAGTGGAAGCAGCCGCTGGGATGTGAAAAATCTTATGGAGTGCTGTAGACCTGATCATGGTTATACTCATGATAGCCGTGCCATTAAATTTCTCTTTGAAATTCTTAGTAACTACAATCCAGAAGAACAAAGAAGATTTCTTCAGTTTGTCACAGGGTCTCCTAGGTTACCAGTAGGAGGTAATGTAAACTGTCAATAAAATACTGTACAGGTTTATGTTTAATGTAGGTTTATCTATTAAAGAATATTTATGATGATAAAATTTCCTTTTTTATAGAACTTAAAATCTTAATCTCAAGCATTTGTATATTCAGATACATTGTCATTTAGTACAAGTGATGTAAAAGAAAACACTGAGATTTGAGGTATATGTAGATAGATAGTACTGTACATTAACTATTTTTTAAGCTATTTCCAGTTTTTTCTTGTTTTTTTTATTTTGTTTTCTTGGTTACAGATTTCTTAAAGCATTATCCAAATTTTAATAGACATTTGTGAAATTACAGTTTGTGTGAACAGGTCTTTGTCAGGATTCCTATCAAGATTAGACTTAGTATTTTGGATTTTTTTATTACTTTATACAAAAGAAATGTTAATAGTTAATCAAATATATATCAGAACAAAATTCTAAATCAGAACATTAAAGCTTTATTTTGTAGGTGACTTGAGGTACTAGGCTGGAAAATGTTAGGGCTGATTTGGAAAATACCACCCTTCAAATTCTAATCTCGTAAAAAGAAAAAAAATACTTTAAACAATAATGGATAAATGTATTCTCTTACCATCAGATACTGCACTTTTACTTGAATTAATCAACATTTGACAGATGTTGGAAAGCTTCCTAAAAACACTACTAATAGTGAATTCAGAAAATAATTTATCTTTATACTTTTTATATATTTTGTTCTTCGTCACTCATAAATGTTTAAATGAATCATACAAACTGTTTTTTTAACATTTTTATTGTTAAACTTTGATTCTATTTTGATTCAAATTCTTTTATTGCATCTCCTGTAATGCTGAAAAGTGCATAAGCATTACCATTATCTATGGTTTTAGATTTAACATTGTGATTTGTTCCATACCTATTTTAAATAGACTTAAGTGTAAACAGTATGAAAAAGAATAGTTTCTCCAATCTAACCTAATAGTGTCCAGACAAGGGTCAATATAACTGTAGGAAAGAGTTTGGTTTTATTAGGTAAACAACTGTTGATTTAAAGAAAGTTCAAAAACATTTGAAACATTTTAATTAAAATATGTCCTGTTTTTTTACAATAGATTGCATACATTTATTGACTTGTAATAACAGACTTTTGTGATTGTTTTTTTAAATTTCATCTTGATAGGTTTTAAGAGCTTATCTCCTCCACTGACCATAGTAAGGAAAACATTTGACCCCAATGAGAACCAAGACGACTACTTGCCATCAGTCATGACCTGTGTAAATTACTTGAAACTCCCTGATTACACCAGTATAGAAGTTATGAGAAAGAAACTAGAAATTGCTGCTTGTGAAGGACAGCACTCTTTCCATTTATCTTGATTGAATATTGTAATGTTACTGGGAGTTTGTATATGTGTGTGTGTGAATGTTCAGAACAGAAATAGCAGGTTGTTACTTGAACAGGTGAAGTTGTTGGTATAAGATAAACTATATTGTTTTTACTTTTCTCATACAAGACTGATTTTTTTTTTTAATTTCCAACACAATACGGAGATACAGCTTTTTTTCTAGGGTATATCACTACCTCTGCAATTGGTTGGCATCAAATGGCTCTAGATGTTCAAGCTCTAGCACATGCTAGATCAGTTCAAGTCATAATGATCATTACCTTGATGTGATATACAAATATCACTCTCAGAATGTATAGCTGATAAGAATTTTTAAAAACTTTGGGGATTACCATGAATTATAATGAAAATTGAAGTGGTGATGAGTTTTCTTTTGTAGTTATTTTTACAATGTTTACTAGCTTTGAAAATTCAAATACCTTAACCTATTGAAAAAAAAAGACGGAACAAAGACACTTAACCATGGAACATGACATAACAACTAAAGTGTGATGGCCTTCTCCTCTCAAATGTAAATTGTTCTGCTTATTAATGTGCAATTGTAAATTGCTGGACTTTTTTTCTTTTTTTTGGTTTACTTGCAAGTTGTCAGGGATGTTGTACAACTCCCAACAGCCTTTTACCATGCACTGTTTTTCACTTTCAAGTATGAAGTATTCAAGCTAAATTTTTGTTGTTGCTTAATAACACAATTAAGAAAAAAGTTTAGCAGCAATTAAATTTTACCGTAACACTTACAAGTCTTCTTGCTTGATCTCAGTTTAAACAAAAATATGTATTTAAAGGTAATTGAAAGTATTTGTCTCACAAAAAAATTTCTCTCTGGGCATCATGTGAAATACAGTAGAATGAGTTTATTTGTGATGTGGTTTTCTGCAATTCTTGTTGTCTTAAAATCTGTATTTTTATTCAGATATTGTGTTTTGTTTCTTTTTTAGTTTATTGTGCAGTGTGGTGGCCACTGTGTCCAGTTTTTTGTACAATGTAGCCTCTAGCAGGCCACTGGCTGCAACCAAAGTAAATTGAATTAATAAACGTTGTATTTAGAAAATTACAAAATGTGTCATGTTTACTTAAGGATTTTTTATATTTGTTTTATAACACATCATACATTGGATTTGCTATTTCTGGTGTTGAAATACAGAATTTGGAAATACCTATATTTCAGAATAAGATGTTACTAAACATTTTAGCCCCAAAAGCATCATCAAGGTTATGAATTTCTTTACAGTAATGGATCAGATTTCCATGCTTCTAAAGTGTAAATAGGCAACAAGAACTGAAAAAGCCCTCCATCAAAAGACTTGCAGTTCTTTGCATTAAACTAATTGTAGATTAATAATTAACAATAACTTGTCTCTTTCTAATGTATCTGCATTTTATGTTTAATATCACAGATATTAGAACAAGATTATAATATATGTTACACAGTAACAAAACGTTCACAATGAAAATTTTGACTGTAGGTATTCTTTATAAAGAATTTTCTAAACCATTTGTTTCAAAGTTTGTAGTTCTTTTGTGTTTTAGCAATACTTGTACAGTTAACTGTAACTTAAGGAAGCTGAATAGTTTAGTGTTATTGGTGTTAGTATGTGAACAATTAACAGAAAAAAATGTTTAATTCCCTACTTTTTTATCCATTTTTTTCATGAAACTATCCATTAATGATATGAAAAAATGTTGATGGGAAAATCTTCTTTGCAACTTTTGTTAAAATTAATTATGTCTGAATTAATGTATGTTCAAAAGCAGCAAATATGATGTTATTGAGGCAACAACTGACAAGCTTTATTAACTGAATGTGCATGGGCTCTGTCCATTGGACGACTGTATTGGAGAAGGAATATTCACCATAATTACTAATTTAATATGTGTATTCTACACAAAATGTGACAAGCTCTTAGTGAAATGTACAAGTCTGTTTTACAAAAACAAAAAAGTTACAAAGATGTTTCTACTCAGATATGTCTGTGAATTTATTATATCAGTCCTACTTGGACTCTGACAAGTCAGAATGCAAGGTGATGTGCATGTGAAGAATAAAAATACTTTTGGCCATCTTACAGTTTGCATACTGCATTAGCATAACTTCTGAAATGAGTATCTAGTTTTTTCAGTATCCCTATGTAATGTATGTGGTAGTTACTCTCAGCTATCATGAACTGTTGCTAAATTAACAATGTACAGTAAAATAGTTGATAACCCTGACATCAAATACATTATGCCATATTGAATGGCACTCTGAAAAAGGTTGTAGCTTGTGCACTTTGAACATCATCAGTGCACATAGGGTTAACAAGTGTTTGTCTTCAACCTGTTTCTATGTACCAAAAACAAACTTCAGTTGTTTGGTATAATAAAACTCAGTATTTTATCACTTCTTACCATGAAAACTAATGTTATATAAGTTTGATGTAATTACCTTTTCTAGAAACAACAACAAAACTAATATTTATTTGCTAAAAATAAAGACAGCACTACTGTCATAAAACTTTCAGTTAACATTTACTTATTAGCAATTGTTTCACACTGTGGGATAAAAAATGATAATTTATATAATGAGCATTTTTACAGTAAGTAAGGTTTATTCCATAACAAAGACTGAAGAAAAGCAATTTAGTAGCTCATCGATAATGGCTCCAAAGATAAGGTTGGCCCACGAAACTAACCGCCCTACGCCTTCAAGCTCGTACATCGTCGAAACTGGATTTAGCCATGTGAATGGTCTTTTTGAGCAAACAAAGAAACAGGCTCAACGTCGAAGAACGCGGGGACTTGAGACTCAAACTCGCAAACCTACAGCCAATATTCATACGCTTGTTAAAGCCCATCCATCTCATTAGAGAAAATTAAAACCTCATTCTTTTTTTTAAATTTTATGTTTCCTAACCATTGTATTATAATGAATAAAAGTTGATTATATATTGGAGTTTCTTGACTTATGAAGTTTCGTTTATGCTTGTATTGTAAGAATTTGGGGGTCGGTAACAACTTTATAAGTTCGCCAAGTGATCGACAACTCTAAAAGGATTGGGAAACCCTGGTCTAAGTGAATGTATCCTTTAGAGTAGTTATAAAATAAACTAATTCCTTATCGTTACGTGGACTGAACTTCGCATTATTTTCACCAAGTAATTTAAAACAACCCGCCGAATGACAGATGTAAGAAAACACGTTATAACACAATCTTTATTTAGTCACACACACAGAAAGGTGAGTGCATCTCCATAGACAAGTGAACAATCGCCTATACTGGATTAGTTAATAGCTCTTCAGCTTTCTGTACCTTAAGATGAATCTCTGCCAAACTAGTCACGATGATAATCACGTAGAACTGAACCAAGAAATCGTTCTGAATTCAACAGGTAAGCGTGATTTATCTGTCCAGTCGACAATATAACCTCGTGATCTTTGTTCTCTCACAGTATTGATGGGATAGCATTCAGACATTGTCAGTTCGGCCAGCAAAGAATATTACAGTCGCTAATCCTTTCAACTAGAATTTTATATGCTACTACAATATCCTCTCGGGCAGAATAAACATTGTCAATTACAGCAAGGACGTAGGTTGAGGGGTTCAAATTACCTCGCTGGAGATGAGTTCGGATTCTCAAACCAAAAAAAAATAATTTTTTTCTAGCTATAATCCTCATGAATCATTATTTTGCATAAGCCAAAAAACATGTGGGCTTATACCTCAATAATCTTTCACATGTGTTCCGCATAGTTACACCTATATATATAGCTTATTCGGTATATGGTTTATATCACCAATACAAAGCAGTTTGCATTGAATAAAAGTTATGTGAAGGCTATTTTATAACCAAATACTCTTAACCTTTTCACTATTTTATATTTTTGTAATTACCAATAATAAAGTATTATACATCAGTGTCTACAAATCTATAACAATAATGTTAACGTTATGATTATTTGTTTACACCTCAGTACGTTCAATACCAATTACCAGGAACAAATTAAGGGTCAAATGGGCCTGGGGCTAAATGTTTCTACCGAGCCTATTATGTTCGCGACTAAAAACTAAGCAAGGAAAAAAGTATACCTTATAATGGGCCTTTTTTGTTAGCTGGGGCCTGGAGCTACAGTCCCAATAATCCCCGCCTTAATCTGCCCCTGCCAGTGATATATAAAATGGTCGCGGTAAAAAGTATTATACACAAAAGATTTTCGTAATATGGTACCGATCTTTTGAATGTCCCCCCTCTCCCCCGCAGTTAAACCAGCCTATATCCATGTAGTGACCCGTACTGAGAACAAGGCAATCTCAACGACTTTCTGAACAACTTGTTTATGTTAAAACTAAATAAACGAAAAATTGTAAGAGTTCCTTTGTCAGTAAAGTGTGTATAAAATATACTCATCACAGAAACAATCTACCTACTTGGATTGGATTATTTGACTTGATAAAGGCGGTTGTTCGAAACGTCACCCAAAAAGGATTTTTCTAATGCTTCCTGGTAGTAAGTAATATTTCACCCTTCTAACTTTTGTGTTTTCCTTTTGTAAGGGCCCGGCATGGCCAGGTGGATAAGGCGCG